TTGAGCTGTGGTGGGTTCAGCCCAGAGCCACTTTCCTCTCCAGCGATGCTCGTCAGCCATTCCCATCCTCGAGCAAGCTCACCCGGTCGAAGTGGTACGTCCGACCCAGTTGCTTCCCTCCCAGCGTCTGGTTCAGGGTGATTTCCCGCAGGGCCTCGTTGCACTTGACGACCTGCGGCGCCCTGCCGGCAATCTCCTCCTTGGTAGGGGGGCGGCACCTCAGTATGACCTGGATGTTGACTCCATCTTCGGATCCAGCAGGGCCTCCGGCACCCGGGCCGGCCCGGGCCGTCGCCTTCCTGCTGGCCATTCCGTGCTGGCGCCGGGGTGCTCACAGGCCTGGCATGCGCTTGCGACCGGTGGATGGCGAACTCAGTATTTAAACTTTCGAGGTGGGTGTGTACATTATGCGCCACCCGTCCCAGGGCGACCGCATGCCACCGCCTGCTTACCTGTCCCCGAGATTATTTTGAAGCGCTGCGCCAGGTGGCCCTCCAACCCGGGACAAACTGTTCAAGTTGCAATCATGTTCGCGTTATGTCAGAGCTGCTGAACCCAGGTCCGGGGCCGCTCAGCTCGCCAGGAAGGTCACGGATCGCCTGGAACGACATCGTATGAGGTCATGATAGCACCGTCCCTCATCTGCGACCTGCCCGGGGCGTAGCCTGTGGCCCAGATGCCGTCCAGCGAGTCCGACAGTCAACCCTCGGGCTCCGCGGCGCAGGGCAAGAAGGAGTCCAAATGGCACAAGCGGTTCGTCCAGCAGCGGCTCCGGGGCTGGTCTCCCATCCTGCATGCCCGGAACGCGGAACTTTACTTCCTGGCCGTTGGGGTGTTCTGCCTGGCCCTGGGCATACCCATCCTAGTGGCCTCCCTGAACGTCGTGGAGTACAAGGCCCGCTACGATCTGGCTGGTGTCTTCGCCGACCTGGACTCCAACAACCAGCAGGAGCTGCTGTGGGGTGCGGGCGACGAGGGCGTGCTGGTGATGGTGGAGATCGAGGTAACCAAGCGCATGACCGCCCCGGTGAGAGGCAGGGCTGGCATTGCGTGGTCTGGCGAGGGAGGCACACTAAAGATGCAGCGTGAGGCCATCCCTGCTGCCATGGTGCAGTCCCACTGAGGAAGGAACCGGCCGGGGTCCCCCTCCCCTCGGATGCTGCCCAACCAAAAAGCCTGCTCACCCTCCCGGCCCCTCCCTCGACCCACACAGATCTACGTCGTGTACGAGCTGGACTCCATGTTTCAGAACTACCGCCGCTACGTCCGCTCCTTTGACCCTGACAACATGCACGACGGGTTGGAGGCCAACAAGTCTGGCGTCTCCGCCTGCGAGCCCTTCACCTACATCACGGGCGCGCCGGACGCAGCCTTCCCCAACCAGGGCGCCATCCTGCCCTGCGGCCAGATCTCCCAGTCCCTCTTCAACGACACCTTCGAGCTGTCGGCGCGGCGACGCGGCGGCGCCGCCGCACGGGAGCTGCCAATCAATTCCAGCGACATCGCCTGGGCCAGCGACCGCGACCACCTCTACGGCGCAGTCAACGCCGAAAACTTCAACACGGTGCCGGCCCTGCGCGGGGGCCGGGGGGTCTTTGCCCCGCTCAACCAGGACCAGCACTGGATGGTGTGGCAGCGCCCGGCTGCTCAGGCCCAGGCACAGAAGCTGTACGGCCGCATCGACTCCGACCTGGAGGCTGGTGGGTCGGATTCGTTGTTCTGGGCGGGGGGAGGGATTGGCCTTGGAGCGAGGATCGTGGGGCTCCCGGTGGAGAGTCTGGGGATCGAGGGGTTTGAGGAAACCAGGGCAGCAGGAGCAGGAGGCCCAGTGGGCCTGGCTGGCATCGGGATTCTGAACCGGGGACTGGTCTCCTGGGCATGGATGAGGCTTTGCCATGGTCAAGCCAGGAGGTGGTGGAGTCAGCCCCCAGCACCCTTCCCCCTTTCTATATCAAGACATGCAAGCATCGCACCGTGCAGACATGATCGTCACGGTGCTGGTGTACAACCGGTACAATACGTATGGCTTCCAGGGCGCCAAGAGCCTCATCCTGACCACCAACAGCTGGGTGGGGGGAAAGAACGTCTTCCTGGGCAGTGTCTACATTGTCATCGGCGGCCTCGCCTGGCTGGCTGCAGCAAGCCTGTTCATCACCTACAACCTGGGTGTGTTTGGGCTGGAAAGAAGAAGGGAAGGGGGTCCCAGGCTGAGGCATGGGTGAGGTTGCCCATGCATGTGCCCTGGATCTCGACATCCTGTTGGCACTGCAGGACATGCGCAAGGATCCCCTTCCCCCAACCCAACCCAATCAGGCCTGTTCTGGAAGAGGGGGTACGGCGATCTGTCCCTCCTGTCCTGGGAGGTGAATGGGAAGGGGGCGAGGCCGACGGCGCGGACCGGCTCAGCTCCCCCAGGTACACCCTCTCAGGTGGGAGCCCATGGCGGGGGGCATGACTGCAGACTGCAGACTTGGGCTCAACCCCCGACGGGTCTCCATGACCCGGCCTCCTTGCAAGCTTCTTCGTGCCCGTCTCTGTGGCCCCACATGCGCCCCTTCCCTCCCCAGGCACACCTGCAGCCCGGTGACGGTCGCTTGCGGGTCCAGTCCAGGAATCGGGCCGGAGAACACCGTGTGGTCCCGCAATGACCCCGGGCGTGGTAGTGGGCAGCCGCCATGGTGCTCCCCACCATCACGCAGCTTGGCTTGGTTGCAGACTTCCCCCACTTGCCCTTTGCACCCTGACGTTACACGATCAGTATATGCACTCCCTCCCCTTGAGTTCTCTCTCATGTTGCCCAGTATGATCTGTACACGCTTCGATACCATGGGGAGTGGGTTGGGACAGGGTGACAGGCTTCTGTGCTGCACGCCAGCCATCGCGATTCCCGGGAGCATCGAGTCCCCTCCACCGCAAACCCCTTCCAAGGCCTCAGCTCCGAGCCGCCAGCACCTCCTCAAAGCGGCGCGGCGGCGGGAGGATGCGCGGCAGCGCCCCGTCCCCCGCGCCGCGCCCGCCCGCCAGCCCCCCCAGCTGCCCACACGCCGCCATTTCCTCCCCGCCGCGCGAGGCGCGGAGCATCACCACACAACCCCTCTGCCGCAGGACGGCGAGGAAGGCCTGCGTGGCCCGCTCCCCGCTGGGCGCAAAGCGCGTGCCCGGGTGCGGGTTGAAGCCGATCAGGTTGACCTTGCAGCGCACGCGGGCGAGCAGGTCGGCGAGGCGGTGGGCGTCCGCCTCGCCGTCGTTTACCCCGCGCAGGAGCACGTACTGCACGAGCACGTGGCGGCCGGCGCGCTGCGCCTCTGCAGGGAACAGCTCCTCCAGTGCAGCCACCAGCTCGCGCAGCGGGTGCCGGCGGTTGATGGGCACCAGCCAGTTGCGGACCTCGTCGGTGGTGGCGTGCAGGGACACCGCCAGCGCCGCGCGGCTCCGCGCCGCGAAGGCCCGCATCTCCGGCACCAGGCCCACCTGCGGCGGGGCGAGGATTGATTCTTGGAGGGTCAAGGGATGGGCTGCGCAGCGAGTGGCACGGGGCACGAGGGAGGACAGGCGCAACATCAGAGTCGCACCCGCTGCCACCATCCCACAAAGGCGCAGCACACCGTCGAGACGCAGACCCGGCTGGCGGGGAAGCCCAGGCCCTGGGGGTGGGTCAGCACCTCCACTGCCACCGCCACGGAGCCGGCGTTGTGCAGGGGCTCGCCCTGTGTGCGAGGGAGGCAGCAGATTTCATCCTAGGGATGCGGGCCTCAGTGCAGGCGCCGATACCCACACGCATGTCCAGAGCGGCGAGGCCTTACGGCCACACCACCATCGCAATGCATACGATTGCAGTCCACAGAAGTATTGCCAGGCTCCAGGCTCACCATCCCCATGAACACGACGTTGGTGACGGGCACTTCAGGCCCTGATGAAGGATCCGGAGGCTTGGCCACGCCGCCGGGGCGCGCCTGGCGCTTGGCAAGCACCACCTGCTGCACGATCTGGGCGGGCGACAGCTGGCCCAGCAGGCCCATGCGACCGGTGAAGCAGAACTGGGGGCGTGGGGGGGGGATGACGGGAGGAGCGCTTGGGAAGTGTACTGCCTGGCGAGCGGCGCATGGCTGGCCCCCGAGCCCCCAGGGTGGCAAGCGGGTTCCCACGTCGCTCCCAAACCCCTGAACAAAGCGCACCTGGCAGTTCTGGGCGCAGCCGACCTGGGAGGAGATGCACACCGTCATGCGTGGCTTCGACCCCGGCATGGGGATGAGGACGCACTCCACCTGTTGGCAGGAAAGAGAGGAGGGAGGGGGTCGTTCCCCGACCCAGGCGTCCCGCCAAGCACAGGTGAAGTCGAGCACGCAACCAGACAGGCGTCTCAAGCCCAAGCCAGCAGCACTCACCTCCATCCCCGCCGCGGGTCCGGTGGTCAGGCGGCAAGCCAGCTTCTGTGTCCCGTCGGGCGCAGTGCTGACGCCGGCTACCTCCATGCCGCCGCCCAGGCTGGCCACCCGGGTCAGCCGGTCCACAAACGCGGCGCTGAAGCCATTGGGCGTGCCTATCGTAGGGCGCAGGTCCTCCAGCAGGGGCCAGCTGTGGTAGAGGGCGCGCCACAGCTGCATCCCCCTGGACCGTGGCTCGCCTGCGGCAACGGCGAACCAGGGCAGCAAGAGTTGTTGCTCTGGAGGGGGGCTTGGTACACGCAGGGGCAGGGGCCAGGGAAGCATGCCTGGCATGCGGGGTGACCGAGGCTAGCAGCCACGTCGACTCACCCAGGGCCGCGACCACCCAGTCGCTCAGCTGCTCCAGCGTCAGGTTCTTGAGCATGAGGCGGCCCTCCCCATCGTACCAGGAGGCAGGGTATGCCACCTCTGGAGGGTTTGATGAAGCCGCAATGGTCATGCATGGGCTTCCCTGCATTGCAAAGGAGTCGGCATGCGCATGAGGCATGGAGCGGCAGTGCCGCGAGGGGCCCACGCGAGTCACGGCAAGTCCTGGAGCTCTGCATGACGACGCTGTGAGCCTCACCTCCTCCGGACCATGCGCCCGGGATGCGCGCGTTTTCTGCTTCTCAGACAGATGCAAAGGACGACAATGGTGTGCTCCTCCCCCTGCCCGCCCCGGCGCGGCACGGTGCGCGGATGGGTCCGTGACGAGGCATGGAGCGGGCTGTCGCCTGTGCAGGCCACATGGCCCCACAGCCAAGCCCAGCATGGGAGCGGTTGCTGGGCGCTTCCCGATGACAATGTCTGTTTGACTCTCAGCGTCTGCTCCCCGGAGCTTCTACATGTAGGGCTGTTGGAATCCCCCCTCTCTCTATGATGTCCCTCGTCGCGGCTCGACGGATCAATTACAGCGGGAAGAAAGGTTCGCGGCCAGAAAACTCCCATCCTCCCCGCTCGCTAGTGTGTCAATGCTCGCAACTCCAAGTAGTTTAGGGGACAGCACAGCCCCCCCTGCGCCCATGCCTGCCATCGGCTTCACTGCGCCGCGCCGCGCCGCCCCAGGCGCAGCGCGTACAGTGCGCGCCTGAACAAGGTCTTCCTGGCCTTGGCCGGTGCGGGGCCCGCAGCCTCCTCCTGGATCGCGACGGGGCCCCCGGCCGGCCCCCGCCCCGTGTCATACCGCTCGCGCAGCGTGGGCAGCGCGCGTGCCGTGTTCAGGTCCGCGGCGGCCGCCAGGCCGTCCAGCCACTCGCCCGCGCCGTGGCCGGCGGCGCCCACGCTGCGCTCCAGCGCCGCCAGGATGTCGCCCGACCCCAGCGCGGCGGGACGTGGGGCCGAGGGGTCGCCGGGGCCCCTGGCTGTGTGGGGCGCCAAGGCAGTGGCGGGCTGAGCCCCGGCGCCAGGGCCGCCGCCGACTCCCCCGGCGCCGGCCCGGCGCTTGGCGCGGTACGCGCCCATGGCCTCCCACACCTCGTCCCGGGTCAGCACGTCCAGCAGCCTGGCGCGCGGCGCCGCGGCCCAGGCGGAGACCGCGGCCTGCAGCACGCTCAGCGCCTCGGCCTCGTCGTCGCCAGGGGCGGCGGGGGGGGCACTGCGTGGCAGCGTGCGCGGCGTCCCCGCTCGGCGTCCGGCCGACAGCCCCCCTGTCTCGCTGCGCTGCGGGGGTGCCGCCGGCGACAGCGCCCCGCCGCGGAGCCGCCAGGGCCAGCGGGGGGACGCGCGGCCGCTTCAGGGCGCCGGGCGTCCCGGTGCGCGGCGCCTCCGCCGGCGAGGCCGTGGCCCCAGCGACCTCGAGGCCCAGCCAGTTCATGGCTGCCAGCATGCATTCCGCATCCGCCACCTCCGACGGCAGGCACGCGATGCACACGGCTGGGGCGGCGGCCTCGATGTCCACGAGCAGGGCTCCACCAGGGAGGCCCGCCGCCTTCAGCAGGGCGCGGAGGGGGCTCACGTCGCGGTGTCCGGCCTGTGGGGAAGGGATGGGCCCGGGCAGTCGTGGCTGCCGGGGCACCGGCTGTCGCCTTGGCCTGGTTGCCATTGCCCAGGCCAGCGGTGAGAGTGCGCACATTCGTGAATGCGGACCCTTGTCCCCTCCACACCCACCAACACAACACCGCCAGCGCAGCTCACCGATGGCGCCCTGGCCAGGCTGCTGGACGACACGGAGAGGAAGTGCACGCCAAAGGGGGAGCACGCCTGAGGACGCAAGGTTGCGGATGGGGTTGGAGGGTGAGGTCAAGGGCAGCATGCGCGCCCAAGGCGCAAACGCAGACTCAGGCGGCACCCCCAGCTGTGATTCTGAAAATAGAGCAGTCGTTGCCCAGGCGCACCTTGTCTGGCGGGGCGAGGACCAGGGAGGCAAGGACCAAGCCGGGCTCATCCAGATTGGACGAGGCAAGGATACCCCCCCTCAGGATGGACAGCAGGTCCTTGAGGCTGGCGATGGGGGCGAGGGCGGCCTGCCCTGGCTTCCCCAGGGGTCGCTGGGCGGCGAGGAGGTCTGTCAGAGAGCCTGACCTGGCACTGACGATGCGGCAGCCGAGCTGCCAGGGATTTGTGCCTCCTTCAGGCCCGCTGCAGGCGTCCAGCAGGTGCACGGCTGCCCTCAGGAGGAAGCCGGCCGAGTCCACAGAGCTTGGGACACCTGAGGATTGGAGGTGGGGCAAAGCCAGGATGGCAAGGGGGAGGGAGAGGGGAAGGGGGGGCGGCACGGCGAGGACTTGTTGCATGCTGCATCGGCTCGATCCATGTCCGGCACTCCGATGACCTCTGGATAACAGGCTCCCTGTCCCTGGCCGCCTCCCAACACGATGCACTGCAAATGCAGACAACTCAGCACCTGCAAAGCCCATGACGGCGTCGGTGGCGCCGTCGGCGCCGTTCAGGCCCAGGAGGAGGGCGCTGGTGCGAGTCTGGTACACGCTTTCCACCAGGTCGGAACAGCAGGCCTCGTACATGTGGTGGCAGGAGGCCGAGCGCTCAAACACACGGGTGAAGGTGTGGCGTGCTCCACTGGGTGTCGCCAACCCTGCAGTTGCGGCTGTGGCCCCGGCCTCCCGGAGGAGGCTGTAGTGGGGGCTGGCCGGCAGCCTGGTGCATGCGTGGAGCGAGGGTGCAGTGCAGTGACGAGCAGGTGATCGCAGGCGAGGCATCAGTACAGAGCCCTGACCTCAACCTCTGGCCTCAGAAGGAGCCTGGCATCTCTCAGGGCCTGCTCACTGCCAGGGCCCTGTCAGAGCGCAGGGACCAAAATCCCCCGCCCTGCTGCGGAGAACCACCCTGCATGCAGCCACCCACCTGACAAAGGCGCTTGTCGCCTGAGATGGGGCAGGCACGCTTGATGGGGCAGCCTCAGCATGGGAACCTTGCACGGGGATGGGTAGGGGCGCCGCCTCCGTCTCGCTGCGGCAGGGAGCATTGGGTGGGAGGGGTGTTTGAATCCAGAAACTTTCCTCTGCTCAAAGCTCATCGGCTTGGACATCCGTGCGATTCATGTGCGGCAAACGCCCGCACAGCTTCTGCTGCTCACCCAGGTCCAGCTGCTGACCTCGTGTCTGGAACCCGGGTCTGCGACGCTCCGCTGGACAGAGCGGGCGCAAACGAGGATGCCGACCAGCAAGCCAGGTCGTCCTGTGAGCGTGGGATGTAAAACCATGAAGGGCAGTGCCGCGATGATGGCGGAGCCATTGGGCCTGGCCCCTGCTGACCCACCCACCTGGGATACCGAGATCTGGGAGGGTTGGTTCGGGAGTGCATTCTCGTTGTGATGAGGCTGGCGGTCGATCCCAGATCGGATTTGGAAGGAGTGCTTCCTGCTGTGAAAGCTGGAGGCCTTTGATAGCAGCGATCGCGGGCGTGCCTTCGAGTCGAGTGGCCCTGTGCCAGACTGGGCAACGGTAAGCTCGGCCTCGACCTCGGAGCCTGAGCTCCGGCTGCACCCAAGCATCAGCGGCGATGTTCCAGTGTGGCCTCCCATCCCGATTTGGCGAGTCCCGGGAGATCAGTGATTGGAGGCCCCGTGAGATGGCCGTTGCCAGCAGGCTAGCCTAGAAGATCTTCACCACTCTACGGGCCAGAGCTGATCGTCCAGAACTTGAGTAGCTCCCAGGAGCGAATGCAATGAATATTTTTTATTATAATTGCTGTTCAAGAGGCAAGGAGAATGCCTTGGTTTCCCTGCTATGAATCACTTTCCGGGCTTGCAGCTGTTTTGTCGGGGGTACGAAGGAGCTGAGGTGGAGCAGGTGGGGTCGACGTCACCACGTCGCGCTCATGTTCAAAGCTCAGAGTCATCTGCCGCGGATACACGCCCTGCCATGCTTTTGTGTATACTGTGATCATATCAGTTTAGAGACTTGAACTCGTCCAATAGGCATTGGAGGGCCTGACGCGGTGACCTTCTTCAGGTTGGGTGAGCCGCTGCCACCGGGCCAGCCCGCAGCAACCCAGACCCCACGAAGGAACAGCCAGCATGACCACCTCCCTGGACCTTAACGCGGTGCGTTGAACCGATGCCTCGTCCACCACTTGCTGGAGGCGCTGTGTGCGGGGTCCAGCTGAGCCGAGTGGCTGCACTTTTGCGGGGGCGCTGGACCCCCGCAGGCAATGCCAGACGCAGGGCCATGCCGTGCCTCTGGTTTTCTCATCATATCCTTCGCTCTTTACTACCTTCTCGGAATGTGAATGAACTTCTGCCTTTCTCTGCGCAGGCTCTGGCCCGACCGGGTCTGCTCAACGCCGTGCTCGCGGCCCCCAACCCCCTGCAATGGGTCCTGGGCATCTTCGTAGCTGTCGCCACCCTGATCTACTGGGAGCAGTTCCGGTTCAGGGCGGCAAGGTGGGAATAGAGGGACGGTGGGGAGGTCGTGCATTGGCCCCCGGTTGGGTGACCTGGATCCTCTCTGCAGGGCCAGCTCCTGCAGTCAGACGAGTGGCAAGGGCTCTTTGAGACCGTGCGCGTCTCCTCCCATAGCCAGTTGTGTCATACTGGCACCTCTTTCCTCACTGCACTGCCTTCCCATAACGCCACCCTTTCCTCCTGCACCCCGAAGGGCCACCTCGAGCGGCAAGCTCATCCCGGGGCCGGAGCGCCCCTTCCCCCTCGTCGGCGGCATCGTGGAGATGGTGATGAACCCCTTTGCCTTCTGGGAGAAGCAGCGCGTCTACTCCGACCCCGGCATGTCGTACAACTCCCTGGTGGGCAAGTTCATCCTCTTCATCACCGACGCCGAGAAGTGTCGCGAAGTGATGTCGGTGCGTGGTGCTGAGCGGGAAATCTGAGAGGAGGCAGTGCGTGTTGAGGCCTGTCTGGGCAATGCCACCCCTCGTCGGCGGGGGGGGGGGGGGGCAAGCTGCAGCCTCAATGCTGCGCAAGGAATTGGCAAGGCCTGGCCTTGGCCGGCCCTCCTGATTGGACATGCCCTGTCGACATCTGTCTCATTCAGTCAGCCCTGAAGTTGACCGTCCCAAGCTCACGCATGCCTCTCCCGCCCTTCCCCCTTTCCTCCCATCCCTCAGATCAATGACCCCGCCAGCATGCTGATGTCGCTGCACCCTTCTGCCAAGAACATCCTGGGCCCAAACAACCTGGCCTTCATGCACGGCCCAGAGCACAAGAACATCAGGTCGGTGCTGTGTTGTGTGCATGTTTAGGGGAGGGAGCATCAGCATGGGTATGAATTTTTCGCCCCTTCACCTCCCCAGGCGCAGGCCTGGCCCATGCTGGCCCAGGAGTGCTCCTCACCATCGCAACACACCCCCATATTCAGATGCACCCCCATCCACACGTCAACTCTTGCAGGAAGTCCTTCCTCTCCCTCTTCACGCGCAAGGCCCTGGGCCTGTATGTCGAGATCCAGGACGCCATCATCCGCCGCCATCTGACCTCCTGGCTGGCCATCCCGGGAGAGCGCGAGGTCCGCGACGCTTGCCGCGACATGAACCAGATGACCAGCCAGGAGGTGTTCGTGGGGCCCTACCTGGATGACCCGGAGGTCACCGCCAAGTTCAGCAAGGCCTACCGCGTCATGACCGAGGCCTTCCTGGTGGGGGCGCTGAAGGGTGTGGTGTACATTGATTCTGGAGATGAGGGTGGGCTGCATGTGGCGACAAGGCAGCGGGCAGGGCTCGCAGTGCAATGAATACATGGCCTTTTCCACATCGATGTGTTGGCAATGACCATGGGATGATGTCTACGCCACACCCCCTGGGACGCGGACGTGCCGGTGCAGGGCTGCTCTCCCAATCACATGTCCCAACTCCCCCGCCCCGCCGCTGCCGCTTTGCTGCCGCCCTGAGATGGCCTGCCTCTTCGTGACATGCTCAGTGATGTTGCACCCCCTCCGCCGTCCCCACCAAGCTTGTCCCGCGTGCATCTCCTCCAGCTTCCCCTCTTCTCCCCCCAAATCACATCGCAGGCCTTCCCCGTGTGCCTGCCCGGCACCGCTGTGTGGAAGGGCAAGCAGGGGCGGCTGTACATCCTCAAGGTGCTGGCCACCTGCGCCCGTCGCTCGGTGGCGTACGTGCGCGCGGGGGGCGAGCCGCGCTGCCTCATGGACTTCTGGTCCGTCAAGTGCCTGCAGGAGATCGAGGAGGCGGCGGCGGAGGGCGTGCCGCCCCCGCCCCACACCACCGAGCACCGCATGGCGGACGCCATGCTGGACTTCCTGTTTGCCAGCCAGGACGCCAGCACCGCCTCGCTCACCTGGTGCCTGACCCTGCTGGAGGAGCGGCCGGAGGTGCTGGCGCGCGTGCGCGCGGAGCAGGCGGCCCTGCGCCCCGACCTGGCCACCACCATCACGGGCGAGGTGCTGGCGCAGATGACCTACACGCGCCAGGTAGTGAAGGAGGTGCTGCGCTTCCGGCCCCCTGCGCCCATGGTCCCCTCCATGGTCTACGCCGACTACCGGCTGACGGAGGACTACGTGGTGCCGCGCGGCACCATGGTTGTCCCCTCCATCGTTTCGGCCAACATGCAGGGCTTCCCGGACCCCCACACCTTCGACCCGGACAGGTTTGGCCCGGAGCGCAAGGAGGACATCGTGCACGCGCGCAACTTCCTCACCTTTGGCCACGGGCCCCACTACTGCGTCGGTGAGGGGCTGGAGGAGGGGCTTGTTGATGCTGTGGCAGTGGAGGGAGGAGGGGCCGTTGATGCAGGGGGCGGGCAAGAGGGGTCATTGCCATGCACAGGCCAGGGGCGCCGCTGGAGAGCACTCTGAATGGTGTTCACGCCGACCTGTTCCTCGAGTCAGACAGTCGCCGCGCTTCTTACCCTCCAGCGCATCGGCTTGAACCCTCATCGGCTGTCCCTCCCCATGGTTCATACGCAATGCCCCAGGAAAGATAAGCCACCCCCCCCTCCCCACTCCCACCTGCCCCGCGCAGGCAAGGAGTACGCGATCAACCAGCTCACCTGCTTCCTGGCCATCCTGTCCATGGCCACCGACTGGTCGCGCAGGAGGACCGAAAAGTCCTCCGAGTGGGTCTACCTGCCCACCATCTACCCCGCGGACGCGCTCATCACCTTCTCGCCCCGCGCCTAGGTGTGCCAGCGGGCGCGCCGCGACCCCGCTCGTTGCTTTCCCAGGTTAGGTAGCGGGCGTGCGCGAGCCGAGTGCAGGCAGTGTGCTCCCCCCCTCTCACGGCGCTTTCCGACCAGCATCAGACCCCCGCCGCGCCAGGCGCCTTTGTAACTGTCCACCATGCACTGGCAAACGAACGTGAGCCAGGAGTTGTACAGGAGAGAGGAGAAGGAAATAGCGCACGGCAGCAAGCAATGGGGCCGGCCCCACGGAGGAGCAGCAGCGCGGTGCAAGGGGTACAGGGGAGCGAAAAGGACTGGTGTGGGGGTCCGGTGCGTCAGCCCTTGGTGCTGAAGCCCAGGGCCACAAGGGCCACCCAAAAGACGACGCTGACTGCGATGCCGCCGGCGTTGCTGGGCGGGCTGTAGATGTTGGACCTACGAGGAGGTGGGGGTGGGGAGGGGCGCATGGGTTGGGGGCCATGCGAGGATCGGGTGGCCGCGCATCACCATCCCACACACGCCCTCGTGGCCCGCTCCCAGCGCCCCCATGAAACTCACCAGTACTCCCCGGACATCCAGACGCGGAAAGAGTCGATGTCATTGAAGGCGGGGAAGCAGCCCACGTTGCCGCCCTCCGACTCGGCCTCGGCCGTCAGCGCCATCAGCCGGCGCAGGTTGGTGTCGTACACGCTGGGCGCCGACCAGGCCACGGAGCGCGAGGCGTTATACACCGAGGGCTCCGCGAGAGCCGCCGCCTCCGCAGACGCCTCCGCGGTCGTCTGTGTGGCGGGGGTTGGTGGTAGCGAAGGGCGTCAGGACGGGTAGCAGCAAGGATTGCTTCCGGGCAATACCTGGCCCAGAGACCTAGGACACAGCCGGGTACGTGGCTGCATGTCCGCCCACTGCACATCTCCAGGGCGCGGCGTGACCGAGGGCGATGCACAGGGGGCGGGCAGCACATCAATTTTGCGGGTTGCTGGACAAGTGGCATATCGGCAACCCACAAGCAATCCAAAAACACTCACGTCTTGGAGGGAGAAGAGGCCGCACAGGGTCGCGTACTGTGCCCATGTCGCCGGGAAGCGCTGCAGGGAGCGGGTTCGTTTGGACATGTCATGCATCTGTGTGGCCACATGCGCACAAAAGCGAGAGCCGTTACTTGGGACCCTTGACGGGCCTGGCTGGGCAACTCCCCACACCGGGAACCGGCCGAGCGGGACGACAGGGTGCCACCGAAATGTCAAGGCATGTAACCTACATTGAAGCAGTAGACGAGCTGGCTCTGCTCAGGGCAGTCCTGATGGTACGTGGCGTAGATGCCGTCGAGCACCACCTGGTGGCACTCCTTCAGGCAGGTGGTGTTGCAGCCCCCCGCGGTGTAGGGCTCCACGGCGTTCGTGTAGGATGCCATGACCTGGTCCAGCAGGGAGAGACATGTCGACGACAGGATTGTGACCTCGGTGGTGATGGAGTCGTCGCCCTTGCCCAGCACGACGGGGGCGAGCACAACCAGCAGGAGGAGGAGAGGGAGCGTCGCCTTCATTGCACTCCCCGATTTAAGAACTCTTTCAAATGGAGGTACAAAGGCATGCGGTGCCAGTCACCCGGTTTGTGGGGCTGCGAGGGCCGTCACCCAAAGAGCGTGCCCAGGCGGTGCACATCTGCAAAGGGAGTGGGCCTGGCGCACGCGGATCCAAAGATCTAGGGTTTTTGATCGCAGCACACGCAGCATCCCGACACCCATGCACGCTTATGACGCGGGCGTACGCTGCCTCAATTACAGCAATGGGGCGAAGTTTTGTAATTACCAAAGCTGCTAGCAATGATTCTACGAGATAATCGATGAGGCTGATGGGGTGCCAGACTCCCCGCGGGCTGGCACTCGCCAGGATGCCAGTCTTGCTGGCCCTGCTGCTCACCCTGCTCTGCGCCACAGCGAGATCTTCGCCCCTACGCTTCTTCATAGACGCTTCTGCCTTTGCGGAGGGTGAGACTGACTTACTGTTGGAGGCCATCGCGGCCTCCAACGGCACGGCCAGCGTGGTGGGGGTCTCACGTGGCGGATTCCTGGCCCACAAGGGCTGGCACAACACCTCCATGTGGGACATGTACTGGACGGGGCGGGAGGTAGGGAGATCGGGGTGTGGGCTGTCGTCGTTTGTGGGTATCATTGGTGGCTCGTGGCTTTCCTTCTCGGCGCACAGCGCTGCGCTGGCGTCGCGGACTACAGCCCCATGGGCAAGAAGATCACGATCTTTTCCCCCCTTCACACACACCCTTTCCCCAGGCCTGCTACCGCGCCTTCCTGTCCCACCTGGCCCCCGGCCAGCTGGTGTCCTGCACCCCGGGCAGCCAGGCCATCACGGGCAAGGCCAGCCTGGTGGCGACCATGAAGCGTGCCTACGGCACGGCCGCGTCCCTCTTCGTCCCAGAGTCCTTCGTCCTGCCCGGCGACTACCTGGCCTTTGCCCGCGCCGTGGTTGCGGCGGGGCCCGCCACGCCCTGGGTGCTGAAGGAGGACAGTCACCGCGGGCGCGGCATCGCGGTGCTGCCGCCGGCCGCCGCGCTGGCCGCCGCGAGGCAGCGTCGGCCGGGTGGCGGTGCGCAGCGCTACGTGGTGGCCCAGCGCTTCGTCCCCGGCCAGCTCCTGGTGCGGCGCCGCCCGCTGTACGTGCGCCTGTGGGTGCTGAGCCTGGGCACGCACCCGCTGCGCCCCTACCTCTTTGACGGCGGCGTGGCAGTGTTCGGCTCGCGCCAGGGTGCTGACGACGGCAGCGACGGGGATGACGGGGACGGCGTCGCCGACGGCGGCCTCACGGGCACCTCTGCTCAGGACGCCGATGCGTCAGGGCACCAGGCCATGGTGGTCAACCTGTGGCAGCAGGACCGCGCCGCGGCGCGCCCCTGGTCCCTGCGCCAGCTCTGGGACCATTTGGACTCCCGCTTCGGCGCCGGCGCGGCGACCGGGGCCTGGGCCCGCATGTGCCTTGGCGTGGCCGCCGCGCTGGCGGCAGGCCTGCCCGCGCAGCGCGAGGCCGGCGCGGCGCTGCCCGGGTACCAGGGCGGGAACGCGGAGGTGCTGGGCGTGGACTTCTTGTTGGACGGCGCGCTGGGCGCGCACATGGTGGAGGTGAACTGGCTGCCCAGCCTGGCGCGCAAGGTGGTGGCCTGCGCGGTGGGGGAGGCCTGCCGCGCCGGCACGCACGAGCCCTTCGACGCACAGAAGGAGGCCTTCCTGGCCGCCGCGCTGCGCCTGCTCCGCGCCAGCAGCGACGCGGCGACGGGCACCGGCCCGGGCCGGCCGCCAGGGCCGAGGGCGGAGCAGTGGCGCGCGCTGTACGCGCTGCGCGCCGAGGCGCGGGCCGCGGAGGGCGCCTTCGTGGACCTCACCCGCGCTGCGCTGGAGGCGCTGGCCTGCGTCGGCCGCGGCGGGGCCTGCGCCTGGGTCGGCGGGGCCGCGGAAGGGGCGGCCGGGGCCGGGGTGTCAACGGACCCCGCCGCGGCAGCGGGCGGGGGGGCGCGATCCAGGTGGGCGGCCCTGCGCCGGCTGGCCGACGCGCTGCCGCCGCTGCGCTGGGGTGCGGCGGCGGCGGCGGCCGGGGACCGGTCCGGGGACCGTATGGCCGGGTACCGTCTCACCCTGCTGGACCGGGTGACCCTCGACCTGGCCCGGGCCGGCGCACTGACGGCCGGTGCGGACGCCGAGTTCACGCGGCGAGTGGCGGCCACGTGGGCACGGCTGGCGCCGGGCCACGTCAGACCCGAGCTGTGAGGGGCTGGGCCCCTGCCACCATGCCACCAGGTCGGACTCGGGGGCCAGGGAGGGGTGCAGGCGGCGGGCGTCTCAGCGCGTCCCTCCCAGAGCGGCAGGGCGAGGCCAGCTGCCAGGACTGTGAAGTATCACGCGCCACGCCACCTCCAAAATGTGATTGCAGATGACGGGCCTCGTCACACCCTACGCTTGCACACGTGACCCCCTCCCCGGGCCATCCCCTCTCTCTCCAGAAGAATACTGAGTTATTCCTGGTGTGCAGGCGATTGAAAAGCAGAGCAGCGAGCGGGAGGGAGCAAGAAACATGCATGCAGTTCAGTTCAAAGGTGGTGGGAGATTACTGGCCTGAGGATGAGTGTAAGAAATTGAGAATTCAGTGGGCTTCACAAAGGGAGCACGCTGCCCCCACGTCCCTTGAGCCAGGCAACGCTGTGCTCAGGGCGTGGTGAGGGTCACCGAGTTCGACTTGCCGATGTGCACATTGTTGGCATCATACACGTCCACATACCAAACAGACACGTGGCCCGAAGCATAGGTCGATGGCGGTGTGATTGTGTAGACCGTCATCGTCTTTGTGGCGGGGACCCAGGTGTACTGCAGGTATGTATCCTTGTAGACATTTATGTCGCCGAGGAAATAACCAGAGGCTGTCACGGTGAAGGTGTTGGTGCGATCCTGGTTTGCCACACCGGTCAGGACGGGGAGGACAACGGGAGGAGAGGGAGGCGGGAAGGGCGGTGGCGGGCTGGGAGGTGGGGAGGGAGGCGGGGAAGGGGGCGGGCGTGGGGAGGGGGTGGGCGTTGGGGGCGGACGTGGGGGGCGGCGGGCGTGGGGGGTGGGCGTGGGGGGCGGCGGGCGTAGGGGGTGGGCGTGGGGGGTGGCGGGCGTGGGAGGCGGCGGGCGTGGGAAGGGGGCGTGGGAGGCGGCG